CAGTGGGTTTAAGTATATTCACAAGGTAGTGCAACTATCACTGCTAATTCTAGAACACTTTCTCATCACCTCAAAAAGAAACCCCATATCCATCAGCAGTTACTCCCCATTTCTCCCCATTCCCCCTAGCCCCAGGTGACCACTAATCTACCTTTTAATTCTATGGATTTGCCTATTCTGGATATTTCATGTAAATGGAATCATACAATATACAACTTTTTGTGTCTGGCTTCTTGTCAGTTAGCATGATTTTTTTTTTTAAATTGTGGTAAAATATACAAAAATTTTGCCATTTTAACCATTGGTACATGGCATTAAGTATTATTACATTCACATTGTTGTATGATCATCACCACCATCCATCTCCAGAATTATTTTTATCTTCTCATATTGAAACTCCACACCCAAGCGTAAGGTTTTAAGGGTTCATCCATGTTATAGCATGTGCCAATATTTCATTCCTTTTTATGGCTGAATACTACTGCATTGTAGGGATATGTACATTTTGCTCACCAGTTTGAAACTGCCCTTACAAATTAATAAAAAGGGGTGCAAGGCGACAACTATGATAAGGGCCTAGCTAAAAATAAGGCACAGGCCGAGCTAAAAATAATGATAATTAGCCACTGTCCCCCTGTTTACTTCTCTGTAATTGCCACTCTGGAGCTACATAGCTGGTGGTCATAAAGATTCTTAGCTTTCTCCATAGATAATATCACCCTTTGAAACCTAGGAGTAGTTTCTGAGATATCTTCCAGGTTTTGCATTCTAGCGTAATGGCTGACCCACCCAGACCAGTGGGCCACACTGGTCTGGAACTGACTCAACTGTTCTGGTGACCCCCACCCAAGAACCTGGTCAGCAAAGAAGACAATTTCTACAACCCTATGGTTCCGCCTCAAACACAGCCAATTAGCAGACCCAATTGCCTATGCCAAACTCTCTTTAAAAACCCTATTTCCCAAATTCTTGAGGAGGTGGATTTGAGAAATTTCTCCCCGCTTAGCTCTATGAGGAATAAATTCTTTCTCTGCCGTAAACCCTGCTGTCTCAGCGTACTGGCTTCCTCTTGGGCAGCAGGCAAATGAACCTGGTTGGGTGGCAACAGGTTCATCAGTTGATGGATATATGGGTTTCTTCCACTTTGGGTTATTAGGAATAATGTTTCTATAAACATTCATGTACAAGTATTTGTTTGAACATGTTTTCATTTCTACTGAAATGTTTGTACCTAACAGAGAAGTTGCTGTATCCTATAGTAACTATGTGAGGAATTGCCAGACTGTTTTTCAAAGTGGCTGCAACATTTTAGATTCTCACCAGCAGTGTATGAAGATTCCAAATTCTTCACATTCACACCAACACTGATTTTCCATATTTTTTATTACAGTCATCCCAGTGAGTATAAAGTGGTATCTCACTGTGGTTTCCCTAATGGCTAATGATGTTGATCATGTTTTCATATGCTTATTGGCCATCTGTATATCTTTGTTGAAGAAATGTCTATTCAAATCCCTTGCCTATTTTTTAATTGGGCTATTTGTCTTGTAATGGTTGAGTTGTGAAAGTTGTTTATATATTCTAGATACACGTCCCTTATCAGATATGATTTGTAAATATTTTCTCTCATTCTGTGAGTTGTCTTTTCATCTTCTTGATATTGTCTTTTGAAGCACAAGGTTTTTTTTGATGAAGTCCAATTTATCTTTTTCTTTTGTTACTTGAGCTCTTGGTGTCATATCTAAGAAACTGCTGCCTAATCTAAGGTTGCACAGATTTATCCTTGTGTTTTCTTCTCAGAGCTTTAAAGTTTTAGCACTAACATTTAGATTTTTAGTCTATTTGAGTTAATTTTTGTATATGCTATGAGATAGGGGTCCAAACTCATTCTTCTGCATGTGGATATCCTATATTTTTTCTTTAGTTTCCTACTGGCATCTTTTCAATAAATCTCCACTGAATTTTGCTGAGATGCACACAGAACTAGTCTCAAATTACTAGTTATTTGAAAAGCACTTCTAATAAGGGAGAACTATTTCTTCACTGAATCCCATCAACAACTATTTGTTGAGCACCTATTATGTGTCAGTGATTAAAACAAAGATTCCTGCCCTCACAGAGCTTATGTTCCATTTTAGCAGGGAGAAACAGACAAGAAATCTAACAAATAAGTACATTAAATATGTAATAGAAGGTGGTAAGTGTCGAGTGGAAAAAAATCAGAACACAGAAAAGGAAATGAAGTGTGGGATAGGGTAGGGTTTCCAATTTTGAAAAAGGTGGACAGGATGGGCCCCTTTTAAAAGGTGACATTTGAGCAAAATGTCAGGAGTTGGCAAGGGATTTGACCAGGTGCACATCTGGGAAAGGGCATTCCAGGCAGAGGGAGCAGCCACTGCGAAGCCCACAGGCAGGAATGTGCCTGGCATTTTTGAGGAGTAGCAAGGAGGCCGGTGTGGCTGGAGCACAGTGAGGACAGGAATTAGAGGTCGCAGAGGGCCAGATTCCTAGGGTCTCATAAACCATTTTAGTGACTTTGACTTTCAATATGAGAGAGCCAGAAATAGCCACTGGGGAGTTGAGCTAAGCAGTGACATCATCTGGCTTATGATCAAAGGATTGCTCTGGCTGCTGGGTTGAGAATGGATTGTGGGAGAACAGGGGCAGAGCAGGAAGAGTAGTTAGGAAGCTTCTGAGATAATTCATAGGAGAGAAGAGGGAGGCTGGGCCCTGAGTGGCAGTGGTGGAGGTTGTGAGAGGGAGTTGGCAGAGCCCACAGATGTCCTGGTCACTGGATGGAGGTGTGCTGGAGGCAGGAGGCAAAGGGGACTGCAGTGATTCTGACCTGAGCACTGGGAGGAGGGAGCCACCATTAACTATGAGGGGGTAGCCATTGGGGAAGCAGGTTTGGGGAGTGGGGTGGGAGGCAAGGAGTTCAGCTTGGGGCAGGTGGAGTTGGAAATTCTCCTTGACATCCAAGGGCCTCCACTTGGACAGGAAGACAGGTAGATATTTGACAATGGGAAGTCTGGACTGGAGATACAAATGTGAAGGAATCAACCACAACGAAGGCAGCCAAGGCAAAGATAGTAGACTGAAAACAGGACCCAGGACCACACCCCAGGACCCTCTGGCATGAAGAAATCCAAGAGGAGGAAGAAGAGCCAAGGAGGCTGTTTTCCAATTTTGCAGCTGCTTCAGAACATCTTCCCTCCCTCCCCTTCTCCTTTCTCCGCCTCTCCTTCTTTCCCTCTAAATTTTCTCCCTTTAAATGGGCACCTACTATGTACTAGGAACTAGAAACAAATGTTCTGCTCTCAATAAACTCACAGTCTTATATATAGGAAAGGCAGAAAATGCACACTTATAAAATAATGTGGACACAGGCAATAACTGGAGCTTGGATTTTCAGTTGTTAGCCAACTACACTAAACTACACTACAGACAGCTGCTTGTTACATGGCACAGAAGAGTTTGGAATCTTAAACTGTCTTTACTCCTATTTTCACCCATGTTGAATTTTTTGACAATCATTATTGGAGACAGTCACTTAATCACATAAAATTAAACTCACTCCTGGTTGAGGAAAACAGAGAGATTGTGGAGGATTAATCCAAACTATCCCAGTGTCTGCTGTCCTCCAAAGCCAGGCCCTCGAGAGTCATCCTGCCCAGTCATTGGGTGCTGATGAAATGCAGGGCACTGCATGGGAGGCAAAGACCTAAAAGATGCGGTTGTTTATCAGAAGCAGCTTACGATCTATCAACATTCAGGGGCTCCCCGCCCAGGCTCACATGAGAATTACCTGGCAGCTTTTGAAACCATTCTGATCCTAATTCAGTCAGAGTTTTTGGTCCACAAACTGAACAAAATTTTAAATCTCCATTCTGATGAGCAGCCAAGAAGGAGAACCAGTGAGCCAGGTTTTTCATAAATGATCTAAAAATTTGCAAACCATAGCTCACACATGTAATTCTAGCACTTTGGGAGGCTGAGGTGGGAGGATTGCTTGAGGCCAGGAGTTCAAGACCAGCCTGCACAAGAGCGAGATCCTGTCTCTACCAAAAAAAATAAAATAAAAAAAAATAATAGAAAAATTAGCTGGGCATGGTGGCACACGCTTGTACTCCCAGCTGCTCCGGAGGCTGAGGCAGAAGAATTGCTGGAGCCCAGGAGTTTGAGGTTGCAGCGAGCTATGATGATGCCACTGCATACTAGCCTGGGAAACATAGCAAGATCCTGTCTCAAAAAAAA